TGGCAGTGAGCCAAGATTGTTCACTGCACTCCAACCTGGAAGACAGAGTGAGACTTCGCCAATAAAACAATAAAAGAAAGAAAGAAAGAGAGAGAGAGAGGGAGGGGGAGGGAGGGAGGGAGGGAGGGAAGGAAGGAAGGAAGGAAGGAAGGAAGGAAGGAAGGAAGGAAGGAAGGAAGGAAGGAAGGAAGGAAGGGAGGAAGTCAGGAAGGAAGGAAAGAAGGGAGGGAGGGAAGGAAGGGCTGCCTATTTGGTATCATGCTGATTACCTGGGTGACAAAATTATCTGTACACCAAACCTGCAACACAACTAATTTACCCATGTAACAAACCTGCACATGTACCTCTTGAACCTAAAATAAATGTTGGAAGTAAAAAATAAAATAAAATACTGGCTTAAATGTTTACTATGTAGAAGAAAATTAATGAGTGTCCAAAGTTTATTTCACCTGTTGTAGTAGATAAGCATAAGAAAGCATTTTACAAGAGCTTCAAAGCTATCATTGAGATTCTGATGTGCCCCATGTTTGTCCTGTATCTGATAGGTTAAAATAAATAACACCTTACTGACATAGGTGAAACTTATGCGAAGAGAATAGGTAAAGCCAGGAGGTGCAACGAAGTTAGGTTTCAGGCTTAGTAGATATAGGTTCTGGTCTGCCCTCTACTGGCTGAGTGACCACAAAAAAAAACCTACTTAAATTCCCCAAAATTGTTAGACATAGAAAATAAGATACTTAGGTTGGGAGTGGTGGCTCACGCCTATAATCCCATCACTTTGGAAGGCTGAGCCAGGCAGATAGCATGAGCTCAGGAATTCGAGACCAGCCTGGGCAACATGGTAAAACCCCATCTTTACAAAAAAATTAGGTGGGCATGGTGACATGGGCCTGTAGTTTCAGCTACTCAGGAGACTGATGTGGGAGGGTGGTTTGAGCCTGGGAGATCGAGACTGCGTGAACCAAGATCGTGCCACTGCACTCCAGCCTTGGCAACAGAGCAAGACCTTGTCTCCCCAAAAGGATACACTTAAAAATAACTTGATAATTACAGATAATATATGTAAACCTGCCATATGTGGTTGACACAATAATTGGGTCATTGGTAATTTTTTTTGAATTGCGAAATAGTAATAGGGCTCTCAGTATGACAAATCATTCTGATTTATCTAAATTCTTGACATTAAAAATAATATGTTACAAAAACAAATAGTCATGCTGAAAATGTGAAAAACACGGCAGCTTAAGGAATATGTTGGTTGTAAAAGGTAGATGCCTTCAAACTTCCAGTAGTGGTTACTGAATGCATTTGAACCAAATCTACTAAGGACAACTAGAAAAACTGGGCAAAAGAGTTTTAAAGTCTGTTTACAAGCATTGAAGTGGTAATAAGATAGTGAAGACTTGCGGAGACAAGAGAGCAGAGAGGATCAGGGAGCGTGAGGACAAGCCCACCCAGCATGATTTTGCCCTTCCTCTGACCATGCCAGAGCACACAGAATGGGGGCCAGGGAATTGCCCAGCCCAGTGCACCACGATGGCACCTAACACTCTTCCAGGGGACCTGAGGTTGGGCTTACCAATTCTGCCACTATCACCACAACTGATACCTACCCGCATGCACCATCTGCAGGTCTGGAGTCTTACCTGCCCAGCCTATCACAGCCACTACCAACACCAGTATGAACTGTTTGGGACTCAGAGGGTGGACCTGCCACTGCCATTGCCCAAACCATGCTGGCTGCCCAGGGGCCTGAGAATCCTTTCACCTCCCTGGCCCAGCATTGCCACTTCGGGTATGTGACTAAGTCACTTGGAGGACCAAGAATTGGCACATTTTTTTAACACTTTTATTCAAATTGTTGGGGTACCAGATGGCAAAGACAGAACGAAAAGGTTAGAAAACCTATTTAACAAAATAATAGATGAAAACTTCCAAAGTCTAGCAAGAGATTTAGACATCCAGATACAAAACCTCTTAGATCCCCAAGCAGATACAATGCAAAAAGGTTTTTCCATGGCACATTAAAATAAAACAGTCTGAAGTCAAATACAAGGACAGAATTTTTTAAATGGCAAGGGAAAAGCCTCTAGTCACCTATAAAGAAAAACAAAACAAAACAAAACAAAACAGAAACACACTCCAACCTTCCAGGCCAAGAGAGAATGAGATGAAATATTCAAAGTGCTAAAATAAATAAAGTGCCAGTGAAGGAAACCAAAACCAGCAAAATATTCTTCATAAATAAGGAGAAATAAAACCTTTCCCAGACAAGCAAAAGTTGATGAAATTCATCACCACTAGCCCAGCCCTGCAAGAAATGCTTAAGGGAGTCCTAAACCTAAAAGCGAAAGGACAATACTTACCATCATGAAAATGCATAGGTATAGCCAGGAGGTGCAACAAAGTTAGGCTTGGTAGTCAGGTACTGACTGAATAAGCATTGCAAACCACTTAAATTCCCCAAGATTGTTAGATGTAGAAAATACACACTAAGAGAAAAAACAACAAGGAATACACAAAACAACCAGACAACAATTAATATGACAGGAAGAAAACTTTACATATCAATAATAACCTTGAATGTAAATTGATTAAATTCTTTACTTAAAATATACAGGCGGGGTGCAGTGGCTCACGCCTGTAATCCCAGCACTTTAGGAGGCCAGGGCGGGAGGATCATTTGAGGTCAGGAGTTCCAGACTAGCCTGGCCAACATGGTGAAACCGCGTCTTTACTAAAAATTAAAAAAAAAATTAGCCAGGCGTGGTGGCAGGTGCCTGTAATCCTAGCTACTTGGGAGGCTGAGGCAGGAGAATCACTTGAACCCAAGAGGCAGAGGTTGCAGTGAGCCAAGATTGCGCCACACTCTGCACTCTAGCCTTGTGACAGAGCAAGACTCCACCTCAAAATAATAAATAAATAAATAAACAACAGTTAAAAAAAAAAAAGACAAAAATAAAGGGATCAATCCAGCAAGAGGTTATAGGTGATATATATGTACTTAACACCTGAGCACCCAGATTCATAAAGTAAATATTACTTAAAAAAGAGAGATAGACTTTGATACAATAATAGCGGGGTAATTCAACACTTCACTCTTTGCATTAGACAGATCATTCGAATAGTAAATCAACAAAGAAACATTGAAATTAAACTGCACTTTAGACCAAATAGCCTTAACAGTTCTATTCAATAGAACATTTTGTTTACATTTACAGAATATACATTTTTCTCACTTATACATGGAACAGTCTCCATAATAGACCATATGTTAGGCCACAAAACAAGTCCCAACAAATTATTAAAATCAAAATCATATCAAGTATCTTCTCAGACCACAAGGATATGAAACTAGAAATCAATACCAAGATAAATTTTGAAAACTGTACAAATAAGTGGAAATTAAACAACATGCTCCTAAACAACCATTGGGTCAATGAAGACATTAAGATGGAAATCAAAAATATCTGAAACAAATTAATATGAAAATGTAACATACTAAAACCTGTGGGATACAGCAAAAGTAGTGCTAAGAGGAAAGTTTACAGCAATAAACAACTACGTCAAAAAAGTAGAAAGAATTCAAATTAGCAATCTAATGAAGTACCTCAAGGAACTAGAAAACCAAGAACAAACTAAATTAAAAATTAGCAAAAGGAAAGAAATGATAACAGAGCAGAACTAAATTAAATAGAAACTAAAAAAAAAAAAAATACAAAGGATCAATAAAACAAAAGTTGGTCCTTTGAAAAGAAAAACAATGGATGGATTTACTGCCAAATTCTACCAAATGTATAAAGAATTAATACAAATCCTCCTCAAACCATTCCAAAAAAATTGAAGAGAGGGGAATTCTCTCTAACCCATTCTACAAGGATAGAATTACCCTGATACCAAAATCAGACATGAATACAATCAAAAAAGAAAACTACAGGCCAATATCCCTGATGAACATAGACACAAAAATCTTCAACAAAAGATGGAGAGGGGCGCAGGGAGAAAAACCTAACTTCTGAAATCATTTGTTCCATGGAGCATTTACTGATTGCAGAGAGAACACCAAGAGTCTTGTGCTTTTGACAGTGTTTTGGGGTTCGGAGCCATAGCAGTTTCGAACTCATGGTGTTATATGTGGAAATTTTAAAAATATGGTTTAAAATTCTTTGACAGTTCTCCCATTTAGAGATGAAGTCTGTGCCCTCTCCACTGATACCTGGGCAAGTTTGAAGCACCAGGACATAATAAAATTGCCGTAGAAGTGACACAACATCATACTTTTTGGAATTCATTGATTAAATGTATTGCAGCTTCATTATCACACTTGCTTTTTGGAGCCTGAACCAACATGTTAAAAGTTTGACTACTTTAAGGTCATCATGCTATGAGGAAATCCAGGCCATGTTGAGAGGCTGCATATATGTGCTCTAGTTGACTTTTAGCTGAAATTGCAAACTATAGCTGGCATCAGCGGCCAGATATATGGGTAAAGATGGCTTCTTATGGTCTATATCATGGATCCAAGAATTCAAGGAGTCATTGCTCTTTTCATAAAGAAGGTGGCTAATAAGAAATGGATAAATAAAAAGAAAAAAGAGCACATTAAATTGTTTGCGTTCCTTTAAATCTGGCTCCTTACTCCATTTTGCTCTGTTGTACATAAGTTAATTATACCAGTTGAAAATTACTAAATGGCAATTAAGAATTAGACTTTTTAATTTAAAAGTCAAGCATGGAGGGAATGTGTAAATAATTTAATCTCAAGTGACTATGCACGGGGAACAACGACATATTGTATAATTAGCAGTATGATCACATTGAGCATTGCACAGAGTCTTGCAGAATTGTGAAGCATAAAAAGAAATTATTGGATTTTGGAGTGTTTTCTTTTCTTTCTTTCTTTTTTTTTTTTTTTTTTTTTTTTTTTTTTGTAATTTCAATCTATATCAGTAGTGGAAAGGTCCTAGCAAAATATGGAAAATCCAAATAGTAGATACAACCTGATATCTTCTGGAACAAAGAATACAACAGCAAAGCAACACCAATGAAAACAAGGACACCAAACAGTCCCCAGAGAATTCCAGCTGTCATGAGGTCTCTTCTATGGCCATCAGGTCCTAAGGAAAGAAAGCAGTGCTTCAGCCCCAGAGGTTAAAGACTTGGGCCCTTCATATAAATGCTATATAGGGATGGTAAATACAAATTCATGTAAGAGATCATTGAAGTGGAGTCTGTACTCTTCAGGTTGGTGTGGGGAGAAGAGAAGCAACTGGACGCTGAGATCACGTTCCCCCTCTTCACACACAGCAGACATCTCCAGGCTGGTGAGACACAGCCATTGTCACCAAACTCTGTATCCAGGTAACACCCACCCACCTGAGATGGAGACTGGCACTGCCTCACTGTGGTGGGCCCCCAGGCCATTGTCAGCCTCACAGGAGTAGTTTCCAGAATGTTCTGCAGTCAGAGAGAGGTTGAAGGAGGCCCCCCTTCCAGAGGGGGCTGCGCTGTTCCCCAGGGTGACATCCTCATGATAAAATCGGTACAGGATTGGGGGAGAGCCTCTCAGGGCCTCACAGTGAAGCTCCAGCAGGTCTCCCACTGCAGTCTGGGCCCCAGGAGACCTGAGGGTGAGGACGGGGCGAGACACTGGAACTGACAGACACAGAGGGGCTATCAGAAAAGATTTGTGATGCTGCAATAGATTCACAAACTGCCATCCTGCAGGCTCAGCAAAGGGCCTGGCCCTGTGGCTGTTGCATACTTTCCATTTTCACTTTTCCACTAAAACAGTTAGAGGTAATTTTCTCAACAATATATTTAGATGTTTGAGGGGAATATTAGTTCTGGGTGCTGCCTACAGACACGGTCATCTGCTGTTCTCATCTGATTGTTTTCCTGTGCCCATCCAGCTCCCTTCATATTTCTTTTTTTTTTTTTTTTTGTATCCTATAATTTTTTATTAGGAAATAATTGTGAGATTTCTATAATATTATAGTTGTTCCTGGGAAAATTGATACATAGGAGCATTTCTAAGCGTATATTTAGGTATGTTTGTTCAGCCCAGTTCAGGACTATAGGACTGGGTTAGAACGAAAACGGCTACTTGGTTACACCACCAGGTAATTTTCCACACCAGTAAATCACCAATAACATGGCTCCAAATGTCTCCCTTTGGGTGCAGTTTCGGCAAGCTAGAAACACTCTAATCACTCTGAAGGAGATGACATAAAATGAAGCCGGTTGTTACCACTGTGAACCTTTTAGATCCATGATACTCCCTGGCCCAGAGCCCAAAGGTTTCATGTAATAGGTATTTTATTATCCTATTTTAGGAGTGCAAGAATGCTTTTGCTTCATAATCAATTACAGCCCTCTTTATATTTCCTTCTACAAAAAGAAACAGGTCAGCAGTCTAACCTGCAAGGGTAACCCATTTTCAAATTGCTTTTGGTTCTCCACAACACTAATCCCTGGGGCCTCCTGAAATTTCCTCAGAACTTCTGTGTACCATGACCTTGGTTTGGGAATTTCTGGAAAATACGAATGAGAGTATCACTCACTTCTCACAGGGATATTCACCACTTTGCTCTGGATAGACTCATGGCCGTTGTCAGCTCTACAGTAATATTTGCCGGCATCACTCTCCTTCACAGCTGGGATCTCCAGCTCTGCTGACAAGGAATGCTGGGTTTTCATTCCCAGACTGGTTCCTGTGGCCTCTCTGTACCAGGAGAATGTGACGTTTCCTGTACCCGCAGTCACTGAGCAGAGCAAGATCAGTTTTTGTCCTTCAGTCACCTGTCCCCCGGGGGCCCGGGTCTCCAAGCTTACGTTAGAGATGGGGATTCCTAGATGGATATAAGATAACAGGTGAGAACTGTAAGGGAAACTCTGGCGACAGAGTTTGACTGATTCCATTCTCTAATGCAAGGAGTGGGAATGTGGATATTGTATAGATAATCCATCATAAGCATTCACATGGAGGTAGGGAATCTATAACAATTATCCTTGAGGAATGTGGATAAAGATATTTGTATGTCCTAACCCTGGCCAATTTCATGGGTAGTAATATTTAAAGAATTTGTGATGGATCTGCCACTCCATGGGACAGGAAACTGTTCAATTTTTTGGATGAGTCACAGACATCTGTTGCGCAGAACATAGAGGGGCACTGATATCTTCAGTCCTGCCTTGGAAAAGTCATTATTCCTAACCAACAGTCCCAATAATAGTTCCTCTATCATTCTGAATTTCAAGGTTCAACCAAATACAACTTCTCCTCTGACCACTCTGCTCATTCACATCTGCTTTTCCTGATGCTTCAGGTAGTACTATATGTTTATATATATATAAATATATATATACATGTAATCTTTCTTTTTTGTTGTTAAGTAATATTCACTGATCAAACCTTCATTGATCACTGACTGTATGCCTTGGCATTTAGTAGTGGGTGGGGCACTTCAAAAGGCAAACCACCCTTTATATATACATATATATGTATACATATATATGTATACATATGTATATATGTAGCACCACATTGTCTTCTAGTAAGTCAATTTGTGCTGCAATCTCATCATGTGGAGACATTTGGAGAGCCATTAGACAGCAGGTGGTTTGCCTTTTGAAGTGCCCCACCCACTACTAGATGCCAAGGCATACAGTCAGTGATCAATGAAGGCTTGATCAATGAATATTACTTAACTAACAACAAAAAAGAAAGATTATAAAGGGCTTAGTCCGTTTCTGATTCTTATGCAGGAGGAAGCCAGGAGCAATCTGGAGGGGTTTTCTAGCTTAATTTTCACTTTCCTTAAGGACAGGAGTTGAACAAAGAAACAAAAAGACTAGTAGTTCAAGCTCAAGCTACAGCACTCCTATCTTTTTTCTCCAGGCTCAGCTTCACTGATACTTGCTTTGCACATGAATCTGGGATCGGAGGCTCTGTTTTCTGATCCTGTGAGTCACCGTTTCTGCCTCACACCAGTAAGACCCTGTGTCTTCACTCCACATGGCAGGAATCTGGAGCTCCGGGGAGCTGCTCCATCTTGACCCCAGGACCTGATTTTCTCTGAAGAAGCAGAACTGGAGTTGAACATCCAACCTCTGTGGAGAGAGCTGGGTCTCACATTTCAGGCTCACTGGACCCCCTTCGATGGGCTGGAAGGAGCTGGCTGTCAGCACAGGGTGTTGAAAGAGCTCTAGAGAGACAGATCACAATAGTCCCCAAAGCAGTGAGAGCTAAGATTCCTGCTGAAAAGCCCCTGGTAAGAAGCAACCCCAGCAAACTGGACATTCAGAGCCAGACACCTCTCACCCATCATGGCTCCCATGATGGTCGAACCACAAGCACTCCCGTCTATATCTGGCCCATGAGCAACTTTCCCCTACCAAGTACCCACCCTGCTTGCTGCCATGGTCTCTTACCCAGCCCATCCCACAGAAGTGAGGGTTTTACCTTGGACTTTTATCTTTACTATATCTGAACGTTTATCCCGCAAAAAGATGTTTCCTTTGGTACTACAGAAATAGTTACCACTGTCACTTAAAACTGCACTTTGGATAAGGAAATCTGAGACTTTTTCGAAAACAGATAACTCTTTGTTATCCTTGTGGTAAGTCATCTTCCGAATTTTCCAGTTCTGTTCTCCCTGGCATTTCAGAACTATGCTGTCTCCTTCGAAGACAGAAGAGGGCGCCACAAGGGTCAACGAATCTGCAAGAGAAGGAGGGAAACTGGATTTGAAAAAAAACTTAATTTTTGCAGAAAACCCAGACAGACTCCATTGGCAGTGAGGTGGTCTCAGGCATAGCCTCTACTTCTTTAGATAAGGTGGAGGTTCCAATCCATGCCTTAATAACTGAGAGTTTCATCCCATGTTTCCTGAGGGGATATCTTAGCTTGTACTGCCATCACAAAATTCCACAAACTGAGTGGCTTATCAGTAACAGAGATTTATTTCTCACAGTTCTGGAGGTTGAAAGTCTGAGGTCAGGGTTCCAGCATTGTCAGGTTGTGGTGATGGCCATCTTCTAGGCTGCAGACTGCCAACTTTTCGCTCTACACTCACATGGTGGAAAAAGAATCAGCTAACTCTCTGGCCTCTTCTTATAAAAGTGTTAGTCCTATTCATGAGGTTTCCACCCTCACGGTCTTATTACCTCCCAAAGGCACCACCTACAAATACCATCACACTGGGATTAGGGTTTCAACATATGAATTTTAGGAAGATACAAACATTCAGTCTATTGCAGGGGTGTCAAGGTAAACATGGTTTTTTAATGTTCATGAAGGAGTGTTCTGACAAACTCCTCATCTTCAGCCTTCTCCATCAGTGACACCACACAGGGAAACCATTGCCCTCAGTGGGCCCTTCATTTTCTCATGCCCCGTGCCTTCATCCAGCCCTCAGAACTCTACACTGTGTTATAAATTCAGGTCCCATGCCTTCTCCTTGCCTCACCAAATAAAAACCATCAAGTAGTGTGGATTATTGGGAATAAGCCAGTTACTGGAATAAGATCCAGTATCTTTAATTATCTACTCGAATTTTCTACTCAAATGCCTTCAGAAAATTTTTCTCATCCATTCAGAGAAGTAGAGATTATTTTTAATCCAAGGCTCAGTTCCTAGAGAAGGATCATATAAAGAAAAAAGCTATTGCCAAAGACAAATGTCCTCCCCAGAGGTTGCTTTCCTCAGATTGATCACAGGTTCTCTAATTTTGACCCTGCCACTTCATTTATTTATGGTACCAGACTATGTTTTGTGTCTATGACATCATGATATTTTATGATTGTAGTAGAGGATTCTGGCCACAAAGTAAGGAATTAAGTTATATCTCAAATAAAAATCTTCCTTATCACTACTCGATTGTATCATGACTGTCAGATGTGTAGTAGAAGGAAGCAGAAGTCAATAACATAAGAGATGTGATGATTCATAAAATACTACTGCAGAGCTACAGCTAAAAAACCACAGGAAATCTGTGGCATTTGGAAGTATAATTTTTGGCAAAATATATGGTTTGCTACTGGCTATTTCAACAGAACCAGAATTACCTGTTGGACATTGGGGAACAATCTGATTTTGTGTGTGTGTGTGTGTGTGTGTGTGTGTGTGTGTGTGTATAATTAGAAGGGCAGAAAAGGTGGGTTGGAGAAACAATTAACTTAATTCAAGACTTGTGCCCTCCTTTGCAAATGGATACTAGATCTCATGGAAACTCCACCGTGGGACTCGGAATCAAGCCAACTTTTAAACCACTGGTACAGTCTTCCTCCACAAACAGGAAATATTCCTGTGGAGAACACCTCTGGGGATAGGAAGAGGAGTTATGATTAGTGACACTGTTGAAAAGGGCATGACAGGCAGCCTCACTGGCTCTGGCTGCCGCTGACAAAGTGAGACCTTGAGTTGGTCTTTAGGAATTATTCATATCCTCAAACTGCTTGGTAAGAGGCAGACTGCCCCAAGAGCAAGCCAGAGGATGCAGAGCAGTGAGGAGCGGATGATCCTGAGTCCATAATGGCAGACCAGCAAGTGGGAGCAGCAGGGTGAGCCGACTTGCAGCTCTGAGAGGAATCCGCTGGGGAGAGATGCTAAAGCTCGGAGGCCTGGAAGTGAAGATGCAGCCAGAAAGAGTCATCATCACCACCAGGAGATACTGCTTGATTTCAGTTCTCACAACCTTTAACCTAATGGTGAAGAGCCAGATCACACTGTTTTGAATCCAAGCCTACTATTATTGACTGTGTGATACTGGACAAAGCACTTTATTCTTTGGACCTTGGTTTTGTAACCAAGTATCCTATTTTTCTAAGAAAAGAAAAAGAAGTATTTTTACCTTTTTCATGCAATTATAATTTTTACCTTCTCTCCATCATCCACTCCTTGCACTGAACGCGTATCTAGCTATGTGTTTACTTCAGAGGTTCCAGAGACAGAAACTCGAACCAGGTGCCTCTAGAACTCTCTCCCACCAGAAGCTTGCCTCAATTTACAACCTAGTTCTGCCCACACTGGTGCCAGCCAAATCACTTGACAGATGACATACAAAGCAAGTCACGTAGACTGGCACCACCTCTCTCCCTCCTCTGCATGCTGTTCACACCAAGTCCCCCTTTAAAAGCCCTTGCCTTCTGCCCCGGAAGTAGAAGTGGTACCCTCAAGGCAGAAGCCTGTACTACTTCCCCTCAGCTGAGTTTTGGAATTAAAAAGTCACTTTCTTTCTACCAGATCTCTCTCTTATTCATTGGACTTTGCAAGCAGTGAGCAGCTGGACCTGTGTTCAGTTACAGTTTCTCATCTAAGAGATGGAACAACAAAGAGTATTTGCCTCTCATCAGGCTGCCTTAAGGATTCTGTGAGAGCAGCACACAATGGTGCTGGCATTTATGGACCACTCAGTGAGCCACAAATCTTCACAACCGTAGCGGGGGATGTCTTTGTTGCAGAAGCTAATGATGGCTGAGGAGGAATAAGAGGACATCATAACTGCACTTCAAGAGCAACTAAAATAATGGGTTTCAGGTCTGTGAGATGGGGTGGACTCGGGGATACTGAATAAATGAAGGTGACTTGAAGTCAAACCCCCTGAGAGTGATGTCCTACCTATGGGGTAGACATAAGTTGGTCCATAGTTTCATATCAGGGAACCCCAAAGAGTCAGAATAGGGTTTGTGTGAGAGTTTGTATCCACTTGCTTCTAGCATGACTGTGACTGCTCCGATGCCAACCACCTGGCAGTTTGGAGGCCTCAGCAGAAGAGTGCTGGCTCTACACTGGCTGTCATTGTGGTGCAACCTCAAGAGTTCTAATCTGTGTGCACCATTAGCAGAGTGCAAGGAGTCAGAGGCCCTAGAAAGGGAGGGCAACAAGTCTCAAAGCTGACTTGTTCATCCTCAGGGAGTTCCAAATCCTCCAGCAACTGGCTGAGAGTGGCTCTACCTGCAGAGGTGCCCAATAGAATCATGCTGACCCCCAGAGAGTACAGAGGAGAACTGCAGTGGAGGGACAATGGTAGGGGGCTAGGAGAACAGAGAAGTTCTCTGTAGAGCAAGTAAATAGGAGCACAAAGATTTAACTCAGAGCAAGATGTACAGGACTGAAGAGTTTTTTCACAAGTATTTCAGTGAAAAATATCTTTACCAGAGCAACAGCAAAAACAAAAAGCAAATGGTATTTCTCAGAGCTTTGCATGTGAGGGCAAGGTCGCAGGTGGTAAGTGCAGTGTATAGGTGGGGCTGAAAAGAGGAAATGGGATAGAAGACTGCGTTGAGGCAATGGATGGGGACAGAAAGACCTTTTCAGCTGCTCTGCTGAAAAGCATGTTCAAACCTTGGAAGGGAGTGTATTTCTCAACAGACCAGAAACTTTTCTCTGGAGACAAGACTGGGGTTCAGAGGCCAAGTGACTGCCCCAGCCTGCATAGCAGATATGTAGCAAAGCCATGATTTCAGTTTGTTCTTTCTGGCTATATAAGTCCTGCTCTTTCCAGTACATTATGCTGAACTAAGTTCTCTCTTACTCTCTTTAAAAAGAAAAGATCTCAGACTTCTGAAGAACATCTCAGTTTTCTGAGAAACTCTTGCTAAAGGAAAGGAAAGAGAATGAAGTGGCTGTTTCCCTGTTCTCTGAACGGTTGTAGGTGATTCACTTCAGGGAGCCTGCCGCCTTGGCATGATTCCACTAATGGTCAGAAACCTCCTGAGTATTAATAAAGGTTTCCTCTAATTTCCATCCAGACAGATAGTGGAGTGATGGGTATCACAGGGTGGGACTCTGGGACCGTATGTGGGACTGAATGAATGCAAGAGACCAAACTTTCTCCTGAGCAAGCTCCAGGTAGGACCCCTGAATGTCTCCCTGGACACTCTTGTTCCATTCAAGGTGAGACCGGGATCTGCTTTTCCCCACACTGTTCCTTAGAGCAAAAAGAGCCCCTTCCACTTGGTAGCCAGCATTCAATGGGCAAGGGAACAATTCTCCCTTTCTTTAGATTTTGTCTTAGCTCATGTGAAGATTCTGTATATAGAATAGAATATTTTTCCCATTGACTTTCTTCACTGAGCACAGATTTAACTCAGAAAGAGTGAAATAAAATTAGCTTTATTTCACTCTTTATGATTAGAACAGTAATACATGTATTTTTTAAAAATCAAAACTAAATACTAATTCTAGAGCAGGGGTTGGCAAATTGTGCCCTGTGAGCTGGCCAACACTGTTTTGGTAAATAAAATGTTATTGGAACACTGACATCCTCATTCATTTACATATGGTCTATGGTTGTTTTCCTGCTACCACAGCAATGGCATTGAGTAGTTATGGCACACACCTGAAAAGCTTAGCCTATTTACTCTCTTGCCTTTTACAGGAAAAGCTTGCTGACTCCTGAGATAGAGCTAGAGCTAGAGAAGCAATGAGGACACATGTTTATTCTGGCTCTGCAGAAGTTTGTATTTCTGACATATTCCTCTATAAATAACTGTTTTAAGAACTGTGAAAACATTCAGCATTCAGCCAGACAATAATGAGGTATTAGAGTCCTACAGGCAGGAAAGTAGTTCTCTCCAAATTGTTCTTTTCTTCAATCTGCATGCTTTCTTTCAGATGTTACTGCCCTTCTTAAAACCAGGCTTTTAAAGAAGAGGCAAGCATGCAGGGTCTTGAGAAGGCTAGGTGGTACCTGGTCACCCAGACGTGCAAGCGGTGTTGGAAACAGATTGCGTGACCTCAGAATATGTCAGCCTAGAGGGCAGTCATATTAGGACATCTTCACAGGCTTTCCAGAGCCACCTCTATAGAATCCTGGGGCAGCTGTGTGACTGATATGCCAGAGACCAAGAACAACAAAGACAAGGAGGACTCACCTGCCTGTTCAGTGACTGCAGCTGTGAGGAGATCAAGAGCCAGAGATTAGCACACAGCATTTGCCCTCATAATTTATAAATTTACATTACTGTGGTAAATTGCTAAAAAACTTCTTTCCATTTTTCCTTTCTTTTCTATTTCCCTGATCTCTCATTACTAATAATTCAATCTCCTTCGAGCACATATCTAACTCATTAATTGTAGTCACAAGGCAAGTTGCAAACCCAACGCTTGACTAAAGGGATTGTCGAGAATACCCACATTGGATATTTAGTGACTCTCCTTGATTTCATTTTCCTTCCACCATCCCCACCACTCTGTCTCACACTCAGACTTTTCAAGTAGTAGATAGACATGACAACATGATCACAAAGGGCTCATCAGGAAACATACACTGTGAGAGTTCCAAGAAATCAATAAATCAGTCTCTTTCCTATGGCCATATTTCATGTTAGGGCCCTTTTATTCCAATAACAAATATTTATTTAGTGCTTACACAGCATAGAGAAAGGGATCTTATTTACTCTCTCACCCAGGCTGTAGTACAATGGTACAATCTTGGCTCACCACAACTTCCACCTCCCAGGTTCAAGCAATTCTCCTGCCTCAGCTTCCCGAGTAGCTGGAATTACTGGTGCCTATCACCACGCCCGGCTAATTTTTGTATTTCTAGTAGAGATGAGGTTTCACCATGATGGCCAGGGTGGTCTCGAACTCCTGACCTCAGGTGATCCACCCGCCTTGGCCTCCCAAGGTGCTAGGATTATAGGTATGAGCCTCCGCACCCAGCCAGGAATCTTACTTTCTAGCAGCAGCTGTCATCTCCCTCGTCGTCCACGATTAAACAGAGGAATATTAGCAAGGGGTCTCAATGCATCTGCTGAACCCAAATCTTATAGATAACAATTGAATAATCGGTGTTCATGGAGGAGAAGGGCAGTGCTAAATGCTAATATTATGAACATTTTACTATGAGAATATTATATTACTCAATGAGATCTAAGATACCAAAATAGCAATTCATGACCAGCAAATGGTAAAGTGGTCCACCTTGAACATTAAGCATTGTGCTTAATGCTTAATGGATGTGCTGCAATTTCACTGTCCTCAGCCTACTTCTTTGCATCTGCCTCTGAAGCCCAAGCTGCAGGCAGAACCTGAGCATCCCCACCAGTCCCGGGGCTCTGATAAAACCTCCGACCTTTCAGGAGCGGTAGACCTCATTCTGCTGCCACCTCACTTCTCAGTCAAATTGTTGAACTCACCAAAGATGACCAGCAATGACCACAGCAGCATGAGGACCTAATCCAGCTATTTGAAAGGAGATGTACTCTTGGCCGCCAACTGGAGCCTCTGAGCAGGCGATGAAATGTGCCTTTCAGAATAGGTTTTGTATAATTAGCAAAAAAGGAAGTAGAATAGTGCCACAATGTTTAACCATTATCTTTGTCCTGGAAGGGCTAAATCAATCATAGCTGATCCTCTCAATGCCAGAGAAATTTTGTGTCTTGACCCTCATGATAATACCTGGCATTTACATATGGGTTGTAATGAGTCAGACACAATTCTAAGTGCCTCGTGCTAACAAAGTTATTTATTACCTTCAGCAAGTTACTGAAGTTGGCACTATCCCCTTTCACATGATGGAGGAAATTGAGGCACTAGTAAAAGTAAGTGTCTTAGTCCATTGAGGCTGCTCTAAAGAATACCTTAGACTGAGTAATTTATAAACAACATAAGTTTATCACTCATAGTTCAAGAGGCTGGGAGGTTTAAGATCAAGGCACCAGTAGATTCAGTGTCTGATGAGGGCCTGTTTCTCATAGATGGTGACTTCTATGTGTCTTCACATGATGGAAGGGGCAAAAAAGCTCCCTCAAGCCTCTTTTACAAGGACACTAATCCCTTTCGTAAGAGTTCCACCCTCATGACCCCTAAAGGGTCATGTAATAAAAGGTGGGTACCTTTTATTACTATTGCATTGAGGATTAAGTATCAACATAAGAATTTTGCCAGGACACAAACATTCAGACCACAGCAGCAAGTGAAATGACCGAGATCAGCATAGTCAATTTCTAGTAGTAACAGGCAGCCCAGGCAGCCCAGTTCCACAGTCTGGCTCTTAAACATTGTACCCTATTATCTTGGTATATTGCTTCTCAATGTTCTTAAAATAATAAGACCATTGTTTCAATAGCTCATATTTCTTAAGTAAAATTTTTCTTAGTCAATCGCTGACTTTCTAGAATGAGATTTTACTAAACTTCAAAACACTTGCACTATATTGCTGAAAACATTGCTATCTTTCTAATCTGTAATCAAAATATTGCCTATTTCTAAACTGCATTGCTTTTTGTACCCCAGGCTGATCCTAATATAGTTATCTCACACAAAGCAAAGCATGTGTTACGTCAACACCTATTATCACACTCACTTTGATCAGATGTAGTCCTGGTGGATGTTGTCTCATAAATGAACCTTATGCAGGATGAAACTCTAAACCACAGAATCACAAGTGCTTATAAATGAAGGACTGACTGAAAATATTCATAGACTCAGTGTTACCTGTTCAGGTACTTAACATTTACCTGATACTTAACATTGAATTGTTAACAATTGAATATTTAACATTTTATTATATTATCATGGTTTTACTTTGAGAAATGCTAATATTTATATGTGATGGTCATTAAAACCTTGCTTATAATAATGTTAAAAGAAAATACTAAAAATATCTCACAAGGAGAGATGTATGTTAAAAATAAGTTACATGTCAAAATGCTGTGGAGAACCAAACAGCTGTTAAAATAATTCTGTGGAATAATATTTAATAGCAAGATGTCTAGGATATATGATTTTAAAAAAAGTGGGCCGGGTGCGGTGGCTCACACCTGTAATCCCAGCACTTTGGGAGGCAGAGGCGGGTGGATCACGAGGTCGGGAGATCAAGATCATCCTGGCTAACACGGTGAAATCCTGTCTCTACTAAAAATACAAAAAATTAGCCAGACGTGGTGGCGGGCACCTGTTGTCCCAGCTACTCGGGAGGCTGAGGTAGGAGAATGGCGTGAACCCAGAAGGCAGAGCTTGCAGTGAGCCAAGATCGTGCCACTGCACTTCAGCCTGGGTGACAGAGCGAGACTCCATCTCAAAAAAAAAAAAAAAGAAAAGAAAAAGAAAAAAGGAAAAAGTGACTATAGAGTGCACTTTATCTGCTGCACATCATCCCCCGCTCTCCAATAAAAAGTGTCTGAGACAATTAGCACCACAGAGTTACTGTAATTAAATTTAAAAAAATCTAATTAAAGCTGATTTTTTACTTTCCTCATTTTGCTTATCTGTGTGTTCTAGTATTTTTACAATAAACATATGCTATTTATGTACTTTTTAAAGATTCATTAAAAACTAGGTTTTATGGCCTCTCTCATCTTAAAGTGTTGAAAACAATACTACTTTAACTTTCTGCATAGGCAAATGGTTTGCATGTGTTTGAAAGTACAAGTTGCTCTTTCCCAGGACCAAAGCTAGTCACTGATCTTATCATCAGGTCTTGCCTACTGAATGGGTTACTAGGTGGCCTATAATTCCTTCCCATTCTGACCAATCTGGAAGCTATAGAAATTTTGTGGTTGGGAGGGAATTAAGGAAAGGAGTACAGAGAGGATCATGAAAAGGATGGTGGTGGATTGGTGGTAGGTACAAGTTTTCATAGACATCAAGGAGATTTTTCAAAATATCCATATCCCTTCACTGATTTCTATATACCTCTATGGAAATGTGGCCTCTTCAGTTAAGAATCAATATTTCTTAAGGTATTACCAAATGGTATGAGGTAAAATTCAGTTGGTATAAAAGGTGCAGGTGGAAAGCAGCAATAATGAGGTGGGTGGGCCATAGAGGTGGCAACATATCCTCTAAGATGGTTAACATGTTTCATGTGGGTGTTACTCTGTATTTGACAGATCGCAGTAATTTACATGTGAATAGGGCATATCCTGGAAGCATAGCTAAACTTGAATGCACAGTAGGCACTGTGACCAGAGATTAAGAGGCTTAATAGACACTTGGGTGGCGGGGGAGGCGGGGGCAGGGGAAAGTAACTTAAAAATTAAGGCAATAGTGGCAGAAATAAAATTATGTGTTTGGAGGTTTGATCAAAGTGAGAGATAACAATACTTTTTGTGCAAGGATGCTTTGCCACCAACAGGAGGGAGTCACAGGTATCAGAAAGAAGCAGCATTAGACATACATATAAATGCCTCTTGATCAACCAGGTAAACCCTTAACATGGAGATTCCACAGGTGGTAACATACTGAAGCCTATTCTGCCATACGCAGAGCAACAGTCATCTCTGTGAACCATGTTAAACGTCCTGAATGGAATACAAAGTACAGTGCCTAATTGGGGCATGCCAGAACTGAGACAGAGACAAACGGAGCCTTCAAAAAATATGTCAGAATAAAACAAATCACACCTCTTACTTGATGAATTTGATTACTAGGACAGTTAGAGTGGGAAATTAAAAAATGAAACAGGTTAACTTCCAAGATCCCTAGATAACATCTTTTGAGCTTGGGGTTCCCAGGTCACTATGAGAGAATTAATATTATAATATATGTGAATTACTTATCATAGTAATTGCTCCATAAATGGCAGTAGAAGTAGTCATAGTCATGGTCACCATCATTGTTATGGCAGCAGTGGTAGTAGCAGTTTTAATAATTACTATAATTACCTTGAGCAGCATGATATATCTTTGATGAGCGGGGCTGTCCCTAATAATTTCCTGCCCAAGATAGTAACTAGATACTTCCTGAGTTCTATGGAGGTGATATTGATTGTTGAAGAACTTCTGGGACAGAACTGGTTAGACCAAATATTGTCTATGCAGACACTCTCCAATGTAATTTAGACAGAGCCAGGCCCTTCTGCCCAGAAGATTTTTTACAATGAAATTTATTATTTCTAGAAGTCCACTAGGGCTCTGCATGGAGCAAATAGCATGAAAGAGAATTCAGACTGTTTAAATGCTTGGAAGCTAGTGGTCATTACCTTCATGGAAGATATGAAGATAATGATACCCCAGAGAATCAGAGAAGACAAGAGTAAGTTGAAGTTTTAGATAGTGTATCTCTAGGGGACTGGAGTTTAACAAAGTTCGATTTTTTCCTCCTTCATAAAGATTATCAGTTCCTTTAGTAGCAATAGAAGCTATGGTAAATCTTTACTAAAGAAGGTATTACTATTCCTACGGTGGAAGTGGAGGGGAACCCAGCCTTGGTGTCTGAAGGGAGGCAGAGACGCAGGAAGACTTAGGGAGGCTCATAGAAGACATCAGAGCAATATCTGTAGTGGGGAGCAGCGTTCTCTCCACGTGTGAAAATACCTCCTAGCAAGTGGCCTGGGCTCTCTGAGAACAGCAGGTGGGGAAAGATGCCTAGAGGTCAAATTCAGTTCACAGCTTTCTACTTTCTGTTTTAATTGTAAATGTGTGGGTTTTCCAGAAGGTGGATGGGTTATGACTTTTCAGACAAGAAGGTCAATGACCAAGGGGAGCTGTGAACCATGGATCGTCAACTACACCAACCCTTAGTAGAATCACCCACAGCAGATTCCTGTGGGTGTCTTTCTGGCAGACTGGTGAGGATCAGTTGTGTTGTAGTAGAAGAAGAAAGCAAGAACCAAGATCCAGATTACACTGATGGCTTTCTGTCTTGTTTTACCACGGTTTTTGTTTTTTGTTTTTTGCTCACTCTTCTAACACACTCTGCTAATAACTTTTTCACAGTTCATAAAGATATGATTCCCAAGCAGAATCATTATTCATTCAGTCATTCATTCATGCATTCATGAAGCCATGCATTCAGTTACTCAGTTGAATTTTATTCAATGTCCTCTACTTGATGGGCAATATACTTGGCACTAGACATACCCAGATAAAAAGATATGGTCCATATCCTTATGGAAATTGCATTCTAGCATCAGAAGACTAACAGAAAAGAGTAAACATACTTGTGTCCCACTGCTGTGGTGGAGCTCTGTACAGTATGTGAATGGACACAGTGGAGATTAAGGAGTAAAGGCTTCCAGAAGAAATGAATATTGAGAGATAGGTAGATTTTAATCAAGCAAATAAGACTTAGGAAGATGTAGAAGTTCCAGGCCTAGAAAGCATCAGGAGCACGGTAAGAGGTCAGGGACCCATTCAGGCTGCTCAGATATCCACAGGCACTTTAGAATGGCAGATCCAAAGGTATGAGGGGGAGCATCACAAGAGGTAAGGCCCAAAGGTGGGAAAGTGGGAAAATTTTTATATTTTCATAGGGTGGAGGAGACACCCACTCAATTCCCAGGAAAGAACACCATTAGATAAAACTCTTTCGTTCCTTTTACCATTGTCCCTTTATTCCTACTATTTGTTCCTCTGCGTGGGAGGAGAGGCTCATCTGATTGGTGAGTTGGGTTGAATATGTCAGCTCATGACCTTGTTCTCTCTCTTCACTTGTTCTCAAACAGAAAATAATCTCTTCCTGCTCATTTACTTATGTGTAATTATCTCAATGAGTTGTCACAGAAGCCAGGGTCCTCTGCTGTCTGAACACAACTCTCCTAACAGTAAGTCCCAAAGCCTATTGATAGAAAAGTAGAGAAAATCTCCATTTGGCTCAAATATAAGTCACATGATCTAGTCTGGTATGGTCATTATTAAAGCTGATATTTTGTCTCCAGTCTGACTTTGTCAACTTAGTTCCAAACCTGGAGAAGAGACATAAGGTGAGTAGCACCCATAAACTCCGAAATATTTCAAGACTAATGGTGGCATTTCAACCATGATCAGAACATGATCATTTTGAATTGGGACAGCAGGGTGTATGTGGACTAGAGGGAATAAAGCTAGAGATCAATAGAAGAGATGTATGGCCACTGATACCGTCCAGGATAGAAAAGATGAAGGTTTGAACTAAGGTGGTTCTGACGAAGAGGAGGAGATAAATTTTGCCAGAGTCGAAATCTGCAGAGCTTCATGACTGATTAGGTGTGGGGTGTAAGAATGGAACCAGAATCCAGAAAGATATCTAGGTTCCTGGACTTTGTTTTTACTGAGTGACAAATCTGCTTCAATTTTATTTACGGCAGCCTGCTCTGCTTCTCTGGATTGAAGTCTTATTTTTTTCCCTCATAATCCTTTATCCCCAAGATTCCTCTTAGAAGCTATCCCACACTTCCTGTGACCAAGCTCATTGCAATCTCATTATATAAATTTTGCAGGGATCTGCCAGATGAGCTGCTTCCTCATATTTTGTCTCAGCTTTAGCCTCCTTTCTTCTTTCTTCTCTTTTTAACCATCTCACTCAAATTTAGCACTGTTATTTCCTCAATGCCATAGCGGCAGATTTGTCTGTGTCTTACAGGAAACTTACACACCTTGTGACAAGAAACCACCATTATTGATCTGTCCAGGAAAACTAGTCATAAGAACAAGGTATAAATGTATAAATGGCCCACTGACAAAGGAACCCAGAACTGAGACAAGGATAAGTCAAAGGGTGGGATCAGTTCTAGAGCTAACTTCCAACAATTTCAGTGTCTGTGCATAACTAAAAATAGGATTTTCTTCCAGTGCTTCTCAATTAATTAAATTTTTCACT